GAGAAGAAGAAGAAGAAGAAGAAGAAGAAGAAGAAGAAGAAGAAGAAGAAGAAGAAGAAGAAGAAGAAGAAGAAGAAGAAGAAGAAGAAGAAGGAAGAGGAGGAGGAGGAAGAGGAGAAAGAGGAAGAGGAGGAGGAAGAGGGAATGGAAGGAGGGAGAGAGGGAAGGAGGAGGGAAGGAAGAAGGGAAGGAGAAGGAAGGAGGGAAGGTTTATTTCTAGAGACTATCTTAATTATCTAGTGTCCTTAGCAGAAATATATTTAGGTTACAGATTCCATCCAGCATTTATTTCGGTCCTATACAAACACCTAAGAGGAGTTTAGTTAAATAGGATACCAATTGGTGTCATAAACCAAACAGGTGACAAGTTGGATTCTAAAAAGGTAGGCTATGATAAATGCTGGACAATTAGATTAAAAAATGAAGAGTCAGGACAAAGCAGTTAAGGGCAGAAATGCCAATCCTGGATTAGGTCAGACAGGCAGAATGTGGAAGCCAGGGCGTTCTCATCTGAGTTGTGTTTGTTCTCTGCTCAATTCTGTGTTTTCCTTTGGGTAAGAGGTGGGCTGTGAAGTCGACCCTGGGCTCCACCCTGTGGAAGCAAGACAGAGATGTTGCTACAGTCTGCTCAGGACTGTAGTTCTTTCTTGTACCTCTTCTTGGGAAGAGCTAGGAAGATTAAGGCAGGTTAGACCAGCACTGGGTTTTATATGTGATTGTAGCTACTATGTTACCTTCTCAGAGAAAAGTGAGGAGGAAAGACAGTCTTAGAGCCAGCTGATCACAGACTACTCTACAGAATTTGTACACGTTAGTTCTGGTATTTTCGTTAGGTAGCAACTGCACACCAAGGCCTGGGAGACTCCTTGCTCTTCCAAACCACTCTCTCTGTTGGACTGGCTGGTTACCTTCTTAAAACCACAGCTGCTTTATTCCCAAAACTGATTTTATCCCTGGGACTCACATTCTCATTTTTATGTTTTTTTTACAGTCTGCTTTGGCCTTCATATGCGTAGCATTTGTGAAGCACCTTCTATTCCCCAGGAGAGCTACCATAATGACAATAACCAGATAACAGTCCCATTTTTGAGCACCTATCTTGCTCTCAGCTACCTATTAGAAGCAGCTCATGCATTTTTCTTATTATTCTCAACTACTGTGAAAATTAAGTAGCATTATGCCAATTTTACAGGGGAAGAATTGTCAATTAATTTAATGAGACCAGGAGGAGGGGGTAGGCAGAGATTTAAACCCAGGGCTGACCATCTGTAAAGCCTATGGTCTCTGTTACATGCAGCAGATCCTCTAAAGAAAAGCGTGAACTTCTCCATTTCTTGGGCTGTGTCTGAAGCAAGGTGAGTGCCGTGCTTCCTGTGGTGGGCAGCCGAATATCCCCCGAGGGCACCTGCCTGTGAGGGTGGTACCAAGTCACAGAGGCTCCAAAGCTATTTCCTTGGGATATGTGGCAAAGTAGATTTTGAAGTGGCACAAATACATGAGCCACTCCCTGAAAAAGTTTACATTCAGGAAGGCCATATAAAATGCAGATACGCTGACAAGCTGGGACTGTTTTCAGGACTGGGGCCAGAGTCAGGCGCTCAACTTAGGGCCCTTCCTTCCTGGCTATTGTCCACAGATCCCTCCTTTCCTTAGGGCTTTGTGGTTTGTTGGCATCTTTTCATCTCTTGGCTGTGAAAATAGCACGATAGAGCAAGGTAAATGGTACTCTTTTCTCCTGCAGCATTTATTAAGCTGAGCATACAAATACAGCTTATTGCTCCAGAGCAAAAATGTTAAACAGACTAATCATGCAACCTCCTCTCAGAAAATTAGCCCTGGTAGTCAGAATGCGAGTACTGATGGCCACACACAGGAGTGGGTCTGCCAGACGACCACTGCGAGGTTCCAGCCAGTGCAAATGTGATATCCAGGGCTCAGGTTTTCTTGATCAGCTGATGATCATTCTACAGTGGATGCTTCTGCCTTTTACACTGTCGTGCATCAGGGGAAAACAATTCATCCTCTTCCTCAGTTTCTGCTCTTGCATTGGAAACATAATTTCCTCCAAAGAATTTGACAAATATACTTAAGGAAAAAGATCAAAGAATAAGCAATCTGACAAGTCTTTCTAAAGCTTTGCCACTTGGTAGCATGTTGTGTTTCTATTTAAGCTATTTTTCCCCTCTGTTGGTATCTGTTTCTCAAGGTCTAAGTTTCACGGAGGCTGTTTTTCTTCACGATTAATGCCAAGCCTGCAGCTTGTGGTCATTAAAGATCGACAAAATTAGCAGGTCAGGACTAAATTGACTCAGTTCAAATCTCAAGCTAAAGATGCACCCTTCGGAAAGAGATATATTATTGATTCAATAGTACCTTCTGGACGCCCAAAATAAAATGTTTTCGCTTGTTTACATACCCAAGATAATGTATGCACATACACAAATACATATACTTTTATATATATGCTCATATATCCATGCATGCACACATTTATGTTTAAAATAAATGGTTTCTGTATTTAGGGGATTAGTTGGCTCCAACTGGTTACTTTTATTGAAATTTTATTTTTAAAAATTTATTTTGTTCTCATGCTGCATAGATATAGTCCCTTACTTGTATACATATTTGTTTATTTAATTTATCTAAATAAAATGACTAAAACCTTTAGTGAAAGCATCAATTAGCACCCCTATTATGCAATTCATTGATGTTGAAAGAGATAAAGCTCTAACTCAACCAGAGATTTCAACTCCTAAAAATGTTAAATATGCACATTCAGTTAAAATTTCTAAAAATGCATTCTAAAGTAGGATGTGACAAGCTAAATAAATCCTATAGAACATTCAGATACAGTGGCTAGATTTTAAAAAGTCCTTCTTATTTGCAATCCTAGTCCAGCTTCCCCAAGTACTTATGAAGTAGCCAGAAGACGGCGTGACTATTACCTCCAAGTACTCTATGAGGATATAAGTGTTCAGAGAAATCTGAGGCCATATGTTACAGGGAAAAGGTTGGAGAAGAAACCAGCAATTTTCAGCCATCCAGTATTTCCCAAGCCCTTTCTCCACTGTCAATTTACACCGGTCAGCCCTGATAGGTAGATAGTATCATACTCATTGTACAGATGGGGACCCTATAGCCATCATAACTTTCCAAGGTCACTTAGCTATAAATGATTAAGCCTGGATTTCAGACCAACTCTTCCTGCTAAGAAACCTGGCCATCCTACTACACCACGCTGTTGCCCAGAATCTCAGAATAAGCAAGGTTCAGGATGCACAACCTGCTCCCAAATTTAAAATGTTTCTCTTGCTGAAATACAGTGAAAATTGGAACAAGTAGGAAATTCTGACCCCACAACTAAGTCATATGTGTAAATGCACAGAAGAAAAAAAGAAATTAAAATAATTTGCTTTTTAATTTGTAAATAATAAATGCACATGTATTTTCACAGTCTTAGCCCAGTAGTGAGTTGCCTTGCATGTACACTGCAAGCTGCAACATCTTCCTCTGTCACCTAATTCCCACGTTATCTGAAACGTTCCTGCTCTACATTCAGAGCTATCACTTCATCTCCCAAAAGGATTTCATGTACAAGGTTCAATCTTTTCTTATTTCTCAATCATTCTTCCTCAGTAATATCTTATTTTTGCTTCCAATTTTGGCATTCTTTGCTCCTCCCCAAAGAAGTTTTCAAGTGGATTTCTAAAATATTTAATTAGAGCTCTTCATTGCCTCAACATAAGAAAAATGTATCATGCAGCCAATGATTTTCAGGGTGAGAGCCTTGCATAGCATGCTGCAGGACAGAGTAAGCCTGTCAAGAAAGAAATTCTTTGGAATTAAAGTGTATCTGACCACAGAAAGAGGTCTTATAAGTCTCTTCTCCCTCTTAATTTCTCTCTGGATTTTGATTTTTTTTTTTTTTACATTGCTTTGCTGGTTTATTTCTTTTTTATGATTTTTTTTTTGTCTTTTTGAGACAGGGTCTCACTATGCAGTTCAGGCTGTCTTTGAGCTCATTTTGTAGCCCAGGGTGGTCATGAACTCTCAAGGGTCCTCCTGCCTCAGCTTCCCAAGTGCTGGGATTAG